GGAGGCATGGAGCTGAATATAATAAGCAGTTAGTTAATATATATATATATATATATATATATATATATATATATATATATATATATATATATATATATATATATATATATATATATATATATATATATATATATATTAAAGACAATTACAGTTTGAAGTTCAATCTAGAGTCAAGTTTTTTAGTTAGATTTTACAATATTGTGGCTTTCTTGAAATTACAACCTGTTTATTGGTGCAAAACAAAACAATTTTTTAATACAATCCGTTTGTCGTGATGTATGGAATACTGTTTCTGGGTCCAAGCCGCTACTCATTTGAATTGATGAAAATCGTGATAAAGAAAATATTCGTTTATTACCACTTTTTATTCCTATCACACATTAAAACGAATTTTTTATAACAGCATAGTGTACACATCAATCTCCAGGCTTGCTGCATCACAAAAACAAATATTTTAACAATTTATAAAAAATGTATCACTTGCAGGCCATCGGATATTATATATATATATATACTGTATATATATATATATATATATATATATATATATATATATATATATATATATTTTTTTTTTTTTTTTTTTTAGGGTTCTTTAACCAACTGCTGGTTAATGCAAATTTCTAATCAGCCAATCACATGGCAGCAAGTCAATGCATGGTCAAGATGATCTGCTACAGTTCAAACCGAGCATCAGAATGGGGGAGAAAGGGTATTTAGGTGACTTTGAATGTGGCATGTTTATTGGTGCCAGACGTATTTCAGAAACTGCTGATATACTGGGATTTTCACATACAACCTTCTCTAGGGTTTGCAGAGAATGGTCCGAAAAAGAGAAAATATCCATTGAGCGGCAGTTCGAGGGCACAAATGCCTGTGGATCCCAGAGGAAAGAGAATGGCTAGACTGGTTTGAGCTGACAGAAAGGCAACAGTAAGTCAAATACTCGTTACAACCGAGGTATGCAGAAGAGCATTTCTGAATGCACAACACGTCCATCCTTGAGGGTTACAGCAGCAGAAGACCACACTCCTGTCAGCTAAGAACAGAAAACTGAGGCTATAATTCGCACGGGCTCACCAAAATTGGACAATAGAAGATTGGAAAAACGTTGCCTGGTCTGATGACTCTCGATTTCTGCTGCAACATTTAGATGGTAGGGTCAGAATTTGGTGTCAACAACATGACAGCATGGATCCATCTTGCCTTGTATCAACAGTTCAGGCTTGTGGTGGTGGTGTAATGGCGTGCGGGATATTTTCTTGGCACACTTTGGGCCCATTGTGGGGACATTGTGTCAACACCACAGCCTACCTGAGTATTGTTGCTGACCATGTCCATCCCTTTATGAAAACAGTGTACCCATCTTCATTGTCCTCAAATGGCTTCCACATTCAACAGATCTCAATCCAATAAAGCATTTTTGGGATGCGGTGGAATGGAATCGGGAGATTCACATCTTGGATGTGCAGTCGAACAAATTTGCAGCAACTGTGTGATGCTATCATGTCAATATGAACCAAATTCTCGGAGGAATATTTCCAGTACCTTTTTGAATCTATGTCACAAAGGATTAAGGCAGTTCTGAAGGCAAAAGGGGGTCAACCTGGTACTAGTAAGGAGTACCTAATAAAGTGGCCGGTGAGTGTACATATTGATAAATTGTCTCTTTATGGAAGTTTAGTTCTCTGGCACAGTTTGTTGGTTCCTTACTAGTGAAATAGTTTAAGGTTGTTGTATCCATGAAAAAATAAGACTAAATGGAATCAAAACCAGACAATTGTTTCTGTCTTACAGTATATTATATTCTGCTGCTATGGCCCTCCAAATTTGACCTCTTTTTTTATATGCAATTCTGAATAGCACTATTGTAACCTTGACATTTCAGTCAAATTTCAGAGGAATTCCATGTGTATATGTCTTGTGGTGAACTGAATACAAATAACAAATACAAATCTTATCAGAAATCAGTCTATTTTATGGTATCTCCGTTAGAATGAGTGTGATTAGGGGAAATTGGGAGAAATGGGATGAAATGTGAAGCCTGTGAAAAGGGCAAGAGAAGTTGGTGTTTTCATTCCCTGTGGACTTTTCTTTCAGGGAATAAATAAGACTTGATGATACGACTCAAAAGAAAATAGCCCCATTCAAAGAAACCGGTTATTGTGGATTTGGAAAAACTCTTAAGAATAGGCCAAAATAAGCTTTTTAAAAGCACTATTTCAAGATTTTTAATTCTGAGAATGCTTTCAGCTGTCAAGAGAGAAGAAAGAGCATGTTGGATTTTGACATTTGTGAACAGAACTGAAAGAGCGACAAAGACTGTGGCAGGCCTTCCATAGTCAGCTCTGAATGACATCAAATGAAAAACAGATGCTGGGAAAATCACTGTCTGGCTACTAAAGTCTGAGTGGCATGAAAAATCACAGAGCGAGGGAGAAAGCAGCAGTACTGCGTCCCCTATGGTGCAAGACGCTGACAGCTCACTCTGCCCCCCACCATGGTGGACCCATAGAGAGAGAGATACACACAATAGATCAACGGTGTCTGGGAGATGCAAGTTCTTAGCATCATTTGGATTATGCTGTTGTTGCTTTGAAACTGCAATAAAAACAGCTTCATTTGCTGAGGGCTTATCTAACAGTCTGCTCATCTGATAAAACAGATGAATCTTTTAAATCCAGTCAGAATGGAATGCTGATGATTGCCCTCTTCGACCGGCAGCAGAGAGCTGGAAGAAGATCAAATCTATTGATCACACCCTGCTCTGATGTGTGATCAGTAACAGGGCAGTGAGAAAATGCCGTTCTGTAAAGAAAAGGCTCTGGGAAAAAAAATTAATTACGAAAATGAACATTTAAATAATCTAATGATGAACTTGAATATGCTATACATGCACTGAAATCATCTGTGCCACAATGGCCAGCTTTGCCTTTGTCAAATGGTTCATCTAACAGTCTTCAATCTTAATGTTGCTCCTGAGTGCTTGAGCATCTTAATAATCTGACACTCAACTCAGGAGACCAAACATCTACTAATGAGCCGTTTTAATTATGTGTCCAGAACTTAACTTTGCTAGTTAGCGTTCCATTTCCATCTTTTTCCAAAGTAACCAATGAGAACTGTCATGATGAATTCTAGCTTCCATATGAATGTTGACATGTTTTGTTCTCAACAACAGGTTAAGAGTGACCCAATTTGAACCAAAATACTAAAATATGAAAGAAGTGTAGGGTTAAAGTAGTAGTTCATCTAAAATAGAGAATTCTGGCATTATTTACTTTATTATTTATTTTTTAAAAACAGGAAAATGTTTTAAATCGACAATAACCATTGGCTTTCATAGTATATGCTTTTCCTGCTTAAAAAAGTCAATGTTTACAGGTTTCTAACTTTCTTCAAAATATCTTTGCTAGCGTTCAACAGAAATTAAAAAAAAAAAAACTCAAACGTTTGGAACCAATTAAGGGCGAGTAAATTGTCAACTTTCAAATTATTTCAATCAGGAGTTCACTAGCGAAAACAGATTAGCTAATCGATAATTAGCTGATAACCGATATACCAACTTCAGGCTGCTTCATGTAATCAGCACTTGTTAACCTTTCACATGTGAAACACTGAATAAAAAGGGTCAATGCAACACTGTGATGAAATATGGAGCCATGTGCTGTTTGGTAAACTATTTTTACAGGTTGATGTTGCATTATCTCCTATATGCTAATTTAAAATACAACTTTTGCTTTACAGGTCCCTGATCCCCGCAGTTTTATGAAGATTTTTTTTTGTTGTTGTTTATTGTACAAAATTATTGTACAGAAAACAGATATTTATTGTGAAACATTACATTGTGTAGCCTAATTTTAGCTTTTTACTCTACATTATTTAGTCCAGGGGGTGTTCAATCTCGGTCCTGGAGGGCCAGTGTCCTGGAGAGTTTAGCTCAAACCCCAATCGAACACATCTGAAGCAGCTAATCAAGCTCTTACTAGATATACTATTCTTCCAGGCAGGTGTGTTGAAGCAAGTTTGAGCTAAACTCAGCAGGTCACCAGCCCTCCAGGACTGAGTTTGGACAACCCTGGTTTAGTCTACAGTTACTAAAAGCAGTGCAGATTATCATATTGAACAAAAGGTTTAGTCATTCTGCCATAACACAAAAGGCAAAGTCCTATTCAGCTTTTGTTGAGGCAACAAGTCATGCTAACTTTCAGGTTACATAATAAGCACAGTACTGCATTAGTTGTGATTGTGTAAGTGAAGTATGCAAGTGGACAACAAGGTAACAGTCATTATGAACTAATATATTCAGTATTAAGAAATGCATTTCTGAATATCTCTTAAATGTGTACTTTCACAAAATATTTGTTCTTACACAAAATTGTGTTGGCTTATTTGGTTTTAACTATAAAAGACATAAAAAATAAAAATTACTATACAAACGTTTTTGACAGGAAATTGGATCTTTTAAAAAACATTTACCCAAGTTAAAATATATTACTAGGCTGCACGGTGGCACAGTGGGTAGCACGTTCGCCTCACAGCAAAAAGGCTGCTGGTTCGAGTCTTGGCTGGGTCAGTTGGTGTTTCTGTATGAAGTTTGCTTGTTCTCCCTGTGTTGGTGTGGGTTTCCACCTGGTGCTCCATTTCCCCCCAAAGTCCAAAGACATGCGCTATAGGTGAATTTGTTAAGCTAAATTGTTTGCAGTGTGTGTGTGTGGATGTTTTTGTTTTACAGTGATGGGTTACAGCTGGAAGGGCATCTGCTGTGTAAAACATACGCTGGATAAGGTTGGTGTTCATTCCACTGTAAAAACCCCAGAAAAGAAAAGGAATGAAAATATTACTAACTTTCAAAAAAAAAAAAAAAAAAAAAATTTTTTTTTTTTTTTTTAAATTAAAAAAAAGCTGTTCTAGCAGTACTTTGGGAGCTCTGCATAACTTTAATGCTGAGACCAAATTAAATTGCATACAAATGCACTACTGGTATAGAGATTTCCTCCTTTAAAGTGTTTTTTTTTTATTACCAACCACATAACCGATGACATGTCTTTGCGGAAACAGTTTAATCAATAAAGACAGATTGTTAGAATAAAGTTTAACTGCAATCCTGATCATAATCGCACATGCAGTTTATATATATATATATATATATATATATATATATATATATATATATATATATATATATATATAGAGAGAGAGAGAGACTTGAGTGCAGGTTCAAATCTTCTGCCAGAATAGGAAGCATCTTGAGGGACCATATATTAAGATGCTATACTGTTAAGGGTTCATGCACATCCAAAACACTGAACACTTAGAGAGCCAACGTATCTAGCTGTAATAACAAAAACATTCCAGTTTCCAGAGTAAATATCTGCAAACAGACCATGTGTGTTGCAAAACACTTTACTGTGATGCAAAAACACTACACAGTACAAAGTAACGTTGTCCAGAACAGCTTTGGTAAAATAATTTGGAAAATAAAAGAAAACAACTATAAAACTTTAGCTGCTTACAGTAGGAAAATGTGCAAACAAGTTTCTTGCATTCAGATTTTTAAAAGATCAACCTAAAACAGAGTAGAGTGTCCACCTGTAGATTAAACGAAGAAAACTAGGACCTTTAGGAGCACGGTGATTTTAGGGGGGTTTTAAGGAACTCGGTATCAGCTCCATCTGTTATAAACTATTCAGTAACGATCGTCTTTGTCTAAAATACATCATCCACATCAGTCCTTGTATTCAGTGTATTTCTTAGCTGATCCGTGAACTTTGCTAGCTGGGTACTTGAGTCGGTTTAATGCCATTTTGCGCAGGACAGCTCGAGGTAAATCAACGTGGCATTTCTCGGCCAGTTCAACCAGATAGATCAAAACGTCGCTGAGTTCCTGGGCCAGATGCTCCCGCTCCGGTTCGGTCCAGTCAGGTAGACCCTCCGCCACCTCCCCACGCCACTGGAATAGCTCCGACACCTCGCCGACCTCTCCTACCAGAGCCAGAAGCAGGTTCCGCGGCTGGTGAAACTGGTTCCAGTTCCTCTCGTCCGTGAACTCAGCCTGCATGCGGCGGATGTCTTCAAGTGTTGGTTCGGAGGTGAAAGTGAACCGATCAGCGTGTTCGTGCTCGGCTTCTTCCTTTCCGTTTGTAGAGGGGTGATGATCGCTAGTTTCGCCGTTGTGTTTGGCCAGTTTGGAAGCGGTGCCGTTGTGCTGCAGTGCCATTGTTATTGAAATAAAAAGTCCTGACGATATAGAAGTGCCAAAAACTGATCGTTCATGTGCAGGACCATGCGTGAATCTCCCGCCACCAGCTGCCCCTCAGTTATGTATTCGCGGATTGTGAATGCCGTCATAAGTAACCGCCGGAAACTCCGCCGTTGCGCTTGTGGCATTGTGGGAGTTGAGTTTTTTCCTTATCATTCAGCAGCAGAGTTGCGAGTTTCTGAATGCTCCGTAAAACTACATGTCCCAGCTGCCCTCACATAAACACAAGCATGGCAGCCTCCACTTCAGGATACAGCGGTGTACTCTTCAGGCTGAGGAAATATGCTAATAAATCACAAAGTTTATGCCATATTGGTAATTCTAACTTCATAATAAGGACAACATGGACAACCGGATGCAAACATCAACATCAGCTAAATACACAGATTGAAAGGTAGGCATCAAGTGTCCTGCAAAGTGCTCTGTAGTTAGGACAATCACTCCAATATGACCCGTATGTAAGCAGTCTTTCTCGGCTCTGATAAAATAAATTACTGGACTGCACGTGTGTTATCAGACTGTTTTTACAGTACATCCACACTTTAATAGTGACCTTGACTTTTTGTGTGCCCTGTTAATGTACATGTTACTGTGTCATTAATACCACAATTGCTGGCTAATGTGCTTGTTGAAAAAATATGTAAAGCTTTATGTGCCTTAAAACAAAATATATGATTATATTCCTTTAAATTATTAAATAAATGATGAATGAATTTAAATGATGGGTGAATTTAAATGATGAAATAAATTTATCACAGTTCGTTGATAAAAGTACATTCTAATATTTAAAGGGAAGAATGTCATTGTTAGTTTGCGGTCTTTTATTCTTATATATATATATATATATATATATATATATATATATATATATATATATATATATATATATATATATATATATATATATATATATAAAGAATAAAGTATATTCCGTGAACTGTGAACTTTGCTAGCTGGGTACTTATATATAAGTATAAGTATTAGCCAGCTTATAAGTATTAGCCAGCTTTTATTCTTTATATATATATATATATATATATATATATATATATATATATATATATAATAAAAGACTGCAAACTAACATTGCCATTCTGCCCTTTAAATATATTTGAATGTACTTTTATTAACGAACTGTGATAAATTTCATTTAAAGGAATATAATCATATATTTTGTTTTAAGGCAGATAAAGCTTTAAATATTTTTTCAACAAGCACATTAGCCAGCAATTGTGGTATTAATGACACAGTATAATGTACATTAACAAGGCACACAAAAAGTCAAGGTCAGTAATCAAGTGTGGATGTACTGTACACACAGTCTGATAACACACGTGCAGTCCAGTAATTTATTTTATATACATGTATATATGGGAGAAGGGGGTGTGGACTCAATCAGAAAGAAAGGGGTTAAGCTGAAGAGTTTGGCCATGTTTGCGAAGGGGTTCTCATAGTTTAATGAAAATAGTTCAGATGAATAATCGCCTAGCCAGAAGGGTTAAGAAGGCTACAAACTCTAGCAAATGAGAGGGTAAAGTGTGCCCTGGTAGGATAACCCGAAATAAACCAATAATTGGACAAGGTGGAATTTGAACAGTGGTAATAGCAGACAACAAGAGGAAAAATTTTCTCCAAAAAGAAAGCAGGAAAGGACAGGACCAAAACATATGGATAAGAGTAGCTGAACCAGAATGACACCTGTCGCACTCAGGGTCAATAGACAGGTTGATGCAAGCTAGCCTGCTCTTGGACCAATGAGCTCTATGCACTACCATGTATTGTATGGACCTGTGACGTGCACAGAGGAAGAATTAATCCTGTTCGAGACCGCTTTCCTTGTCGCTCGTTAATGTCAACTCCAATGTCTTGAGACCAGATGGTCCAGTAGTTATCAGAAGAAAATTGCAGATTAACAATTATATTAAATAATTTAGAAATTGAACATTTAGCACAGGGATCTATGCCCAGTATGGTGTCCAGATCTGAAGCAATTATTTTTTGCGCACAGAATCTTGAATTTGTAAATATCTGGAAAAATTAGCTTTAGGGACATTAAATTGAGAGGCCATCTGACCAAAAGAGACAACAACAACAACAACAACATCAATGCAATTTGCTTCTCTTCTTGTCGTACATGTCTAATTTGATGAGTAGTTTACATATTTTTCTGTGTGTAAATTGTCTTTTGATGGCTAATGTCAAAAACCTGACTGATGTTGATGCTAATTTTGATGCTAAGACATAAGCTATAATGATTTGTTGTAGACTATACTTTAAAGTTATGTGGAAGAAATCCACTTTTCCACATGAGTTTTAAATTTTTTTTTTTACAAGAGTTATGCTTAAGCAAATTCTTAAGAACTCCTCAGAGTTTATCTTAATATATTTCTTAACGTACCTCTGTTGAAGGTTTTATTGAATCTTGCCCCTGGTCTCACCAAAATTAAATCCTTATGAAACAAGCATTTAGCTTTATAATGTATTTAATCATTTTAGAATATTCTCGTAATGCCTTAATTATGAAAGAAACTTTCAGGTTTGACCTCCTCATCATTAATTTTTCTATGTTTTCTAGTCTTCCTCAGATGGTCGGTGTTGTGGGTCTAGAAATCCATGCTCAGATTCACTCCAAATCAAAGCTCTTCTCTGGATCTCATGTTAGTTTCTCTGATCCACCAAACTCACTTGTCTCTCATTTTGATGCTTCATTACCAGGGACACTGCCAGTAAGTGAATCAATAAAATAAACATATTTGTAAAATAACATACAGTGCATCTGGAAAGTGTTCATAGCGCTTCACTTTTTCCACATTTTTTGTTACAGCCTTCTACTAAAATGGATTAAATTCATTTATTTTCTTAACATTCTACACACAATACCCTATAATGACAATGTGATTTTTTTTAAATTGTTGCAGTTTTATTAAAAATAAAAAACTGAATAATTACATGTACTGTATATAAGTATTCACAGCCTTTGCTTAATACTTTGTTGATGCACCTTTAGCAGCAATTACAGCCTCAAGTCTTTTTGAATTTGATGCCACAAGCTTGGCACACCTGTCTTTGAGAATTTTTGCCCATTGCAGAACCACTCAAGCTCTTTCAGGTTGGATGGGAAGTGACAGTGTTGTCAGGGTTCTGCCACTCTGGTCTTGTAAATTCTTGTTTTGGTGGCAGAGTCCGGACACTAGCTCTGTCTTGTCCTGTTTCTGTCGTTGTGCGTGTGTCTCTGTGTGTACACACCGTCGGAGGTGTCGAAGCTCTGCGTGCCTCGGACGCGCGCTCTTGTACTCGTGTTTGTGTTTTGTTCTGTCGGCATCGTGCTGTTTCATTCTCAGCATCTTTGTCTAGTTGGTTTCGGTTTTGGTTGACGCTGAGATGAGACATATGTGTGAGCGCACGGTAAGGTGTTCATCTATCGTGTGCTCGTGTCTTGCGTCTAAGCACATGGCTCTGTGTTTACATTGTGACCACGTGCTTCAGTCTTGTCCTGTTATTGTGAACGCGTGGTTAATGAGTTCTCTCATTGGCTGTTTGTTCTTGTCCTGTTTTATGTGAGCACATGGCTTGTGTTGTCTCTGTGTCATGTGCTCTCCCGTCTATTGTCTAATCCCACCCTCCTTGTTAACCCATTATTAGTTAATTATGTTCATCTGTTTGTGTTAATTTGCTTCTGTTTATATTCTCCTCATGTCTGCTGTCCTGTGCCAGTTTGTCTTCTATACTCCCGCTGTGTTCCTGCTCCAGTCTTGTCTTGCCAGCCCAGCCAAGTTTGTTTGTGTTATAGTAATGTTTTCCCCCTCGGGGTAGTTTGTTTAGCCTTTTTGTTTTATTTGTATTTTATTATTAATAAAACCCATATCATTTTCTGCAATTGAGTCTACGCTCCTTTTTCCAAACCACAACCGTGACAGGTGTACAGTCATTTTTAGATCTCTCCACAGATGTTCAATAGGATTTAGGTCTGGGCTTTGGCTGGGCTACTCAAGGACATTCACCAAGTTGTTGTGAAGCCACTCCATTGATATTTTGGTGGTATGCTTTGGGTCATTGTCCTGCTGGAAGATTAACCATCGCCGCAGTCTGAGGTCAAGAGCACTCTGAAGCAAGTTTTCATTCAGGATGTCTTTACATTGCTGCATTCCTCTTGCCCTCTATCCTAACTAGTCTTCCAGTTCCTGCTGCTGAAAAACACCACCACCATGCTTTACAGTAGGCATGGTATTAGCCTGGTGATGAGCGGTGCTTGGTTTTCTCCAAACGTAACGCCTGGCATTCACTCCAAAGAGTTCAATTTTAGTCAATTTCATCAGACCAAAGATTTTTTGGTGGCTTCCAGGTGGCTGTGGTGTCCATCTGGCCACTCTACCGTACAGACCTGATTGGTGGATTGCTGCACAGATGGTTGTCCTACTGTAAGGTTCTCCTCTCTTCACAGAAGAGCTCTGGAGCTCAGACAGAGTGACCATCGAGTTATTGATCACCTTTCTGTTTAAGGACCTTCTCCCCCGATCACACAGCTTAGATGGCTGGCCAGCTCTAGGAAGAGTCCTGGTGGTTACAAACATCTTCCACTTACGGATGATAGAGACCACTGTGCTTATTGGAACTTATTGGAATTTTTGGAACAGCAAAAATTTTTCTGTAACCTTCCACAGCCTTGTGCCTCGGGACAATCTTGTCTCGGAGGTCTACAGACAATTCCTTTGTCTTCATGCTTGGTTTGTGCTTTGACATGCACCGTCAACCCTGGGACCTTATATAGAGAGGTGTATGCCTTTTCCAATCATGTCCAATCAACTGAATTTACCACAGGTGAACTCCGATTAATTAATTAATGATCAGTGGAAACAGAATGTGCCTGAGCTCAATTTAAAGCTTTACGACAAAGGCTGTGAATACTTATATCCTTGAGATTTTTCAGTTTTTTATTTTTAATAAATTTGCAACAATTTAAAAAAAAGCTTTTTTCACATTGTCATTATGGGGTATTGTGTGTAGAATTTTAAGGAAATAAATGAAATTAATCCATTTTGTAATAAGGCTGTAACATAGAAATATGTGGGAAAAGTGAAGTGCTATCAATAATTTCCGAAAGCACTGTATAATGTATTTTTGCATTTATAGAGGTTGTTCTATGTCTTACCACTACATTTCCTAAGGTGCTGAACAGAAGATGTGTGGAGGCTGCTGTATTAACAGGCCTTGCTCTCAACTGCACCATAAACAAGAAGTCACTGTTCGATAGGAAGCATTACTTCTATGCAGACATGCCTGTGAGTTGTCCTAACTGCACACATGTGGGTGTTTAATAAATTGGTCAGCACTTCTTCATTTTATCTTCCTTTTCCTAAGCATAGAAGTGCTGATGACACAAATGCAATAGACAAGAACATCTTTCTTATACTTCCCAGTCTGTGTGGTTGTTATTTTTGATTAGCTGCTTTATGAATCCATCGTTTGTCAAACAGACACACACACGCGCGTATATTCAGTACATCACATTCTCTTTCTCCGAGCTTTAATAAAGAAGTGATGGCAATCCATGCTGAACAGGCAAGAAACAGAATAGCTGCCACTAATGTAGATGAATGAACAGTCAGTTCTTAAAAGCTTAAAACAGTCAAGTTCTGGTATTGGTTTTCTCGATCTGTATAGTATTCATGCAGAAAAAAAAAATATATATATTTTTGACGAACTTTTTCCCAGTTTTTTCCACTTGTAGCCTGATTATATTTTTAATGTATGTGAGTGCTCAGAAAGTTTAACCTGGTGCTATAAAATGAATGTGCTGCATCTGGCGCTATTGCTTTAATATATATATAATAAATATATTGTCTTTAATATAACGTAATCACCCTATGGGTTGCAAAAAAAAGATAGAAAGGCTGATGGCTTTTTATTTGCATGTTGTTTTTTAATAGTTATCATTAACATTTTAACAATGTTACTATTAACTACTATTTTGTTCTTCAATAGGTTATGGATAAATATGCTAATTCTAATAGTTTAATAAAAGGAATTTGATTTTTGGAAATTGCCAAGCGACCCTCCCTCATTGTCCTGTGAAACCCCCCTTGGGAACCACTGGTCTACCGAAAAAAAACAATGACTTGCCTAATTACCCTGGATTAACTAATCAAACTAATTAACCTAGTTAGGCCTTTAAATCGCAATTTAAGTGGAATACTCGTGTCCTGAAAAATATCTAGTGAAATATTATGTACTGTCATCATGGCAAATATAAAAGAGATCAGTTATTAGAAATTAGCTATTAAAATTCATATGTTTAGAAATGTGTTGAAAAAAGGTTGTGCTTCAACCTACATTTTTGTTAAACAAAAAAAAACTTATTTATATTAACATACATTTAACTGCAGTTTCTAGGTAAAATGAACGCAACAAGGCAACAACTTCTGTTTCTTTTCACACTAATAATATTTACAGGCTTATATTATTGATGAATAAAGGATTATTTTCATGCAGTTCTTTGCACAACACCAAATAAATACCACAAAACAACTTGTGTCTAGGGATGCACTGATTTTAGATTTTGTTTGTACGATTATAGTCTGAAAAATAATCATGGATTCACGGTTATCATAAATATTATGCATTCATTTATTTTAAAAACACTACTAGTTTAGAAAATCATGTGAAAACTCTTTAAATTTTAAAGTGTTATTTATTGCTGCTCAGTAACCAATTAATACAGCACTAAACAATAAATACATTTTAAAAAGCAATAGTTAATTTCTCTTTTTTGACTTTAAAAAAAAAGTGAAAAGTTTTTGGTTTTTTAACATAAGTAATACTTTTACAGTGAAAATAAATGACAGAACAATGAATAAATAATTACATTAATTCATTAATTTTAAAAAATAGTAATTGTCTAATGTAAATCTAAGCTATTAGCAAAGTATTTCCCTTTTAAAGAGAACAAATGTAGTGAAATACTGCTGAACCTCTGTCTGAAAGACACTTGATATTACAACTACATTACAAAAATGTTCGGTATTTTTCTTTTGTATTTTTTTCTCTTTAGAGTAGAAATGTGTATATGTATTCCATACAAAGTGTGAAGCTGAACAGTCAGTTCTTGTCATAGGACTCACGGTGCGCTCACTGCGTTCTTTTAACTAGGTGTACCTGAAAAACACTTGAGCATCATGGTACTCATTCCTTGTTTGGAATTAACAAACTTGCGCTTACAAAAGATGGGATAGGCCCTTAGTTAATAGCCTCGGCCAAAGTTTAAATTACCCTTTAATCCAGTTTGCATGTGTATTAGCCTTAGTGTACAAGCTCGGAACTTTAAACTAATTAGCATAACTTTGTTTAGTTGCAGCAGTTTTTTTCCGTGCAGAAATGCAGTGTTGAGAAGCCTTTACAATGAATTAACCATGACGAATTAAAGCATGATTAATAGTGAAATTGGTTAATCATTGCATCCCTACTTGTGTCTATAATCTGTAATCTATTATGTTTGCCTCACCTTTCTCCATATGGACATTATCTCTGGTATCAGTTTGCTCAGTAGTTCACTTTTTGTCATGTACTTGTGATACAAAGCACTCTGGTGAAACATGGTTTAATAAAAGAGGGGGGGAAATGGTAAAACTATGTGGTCGTACTAAAGAAACCACGTTATGTTTACTTTTGAAAACAATATTGGTTGGGTTTAGAAAAGGGTTTGAGTCATTGGTTCGCTGGTCTTGGTGATCTATACAACGATCCTTGACTTCTTTTGAATGTGTACAAGGGACAAGTACATGAATCTTACAACAATACGTACCATATATAATATTCATATTCGAATAATGTAGACAGGGCCCTCTAGTGGATTTTTCATCTGAAACATGCAACAAAATGCACACAGACAACATTATTAACATGGAGAGGCACGTATTTCCGATTAGCCAGGGCTGGTTTTATGGCCAGCTTAACTGAAATTTTGTGACTGCACAAATTCTCATTTAGCTACGGTTTATTAACTATACTGTTAATAAAGGTGAAAAAATGGCATTCAGAGAAATGACTCGCATAGACTGACCTTTTTGCATACTGTATTTATTTGCTGAGTTTTTCAAAAATGATTGGAGGAGAGTATTTAAATGAGCCATGCATGTAACTGAGGTTTGCAGTTGCCAATTTACCAGTAATTGCATCATTATTAAACTCCAAAAAAGCATGTCTGAATTAATTTTACCCCTGTCATGATGTGATAGCTGCCAAAGTAGAAGCTAGAAGGTTTTTCTTTACTGTATTTGGTATGCAAATGAAGATTAATGTTTATAATTTTTGCTGCTTTTGGTTAGATTGTGCTGCACTTTATGGAAAGGAGCTGCTGCCTCTCTGGTTTCAAATTTTGTGGATTGTGAGTAGTTACTCACAGTATTTTAAACTCCCATCTATGCATATAGGGGATTGTGTTCTCACACTAATTTGCTCTTTTTATTTAATATGGTACTTAATAAGTTTGGAAATAATTTTGAATAACTAAATAAACACAGTATTATTAAACACAGTTAGCTTTAACTCTGTAATATTCACTATATATAAACAAATGACTGGATTTTAAATGTAGAGAAATTGAGTTTTAGCGATAACAAACAATGCTTTCTTTTTACCGGTTTTCTTTTGAGCAGTGTGGGTAATGTAGTATTTAATTTGGAATTCTGCAACTGAACAGAATTTTCTTTTTATATATATATATATATATATATATATATATATATATATATATTTTTTTTTTTTTTTTTTTTTTTTTTTTTACTGTTTTACATAATGTACCAACAAAACAAACAAAAACTAAAAAACAACATGTGAGGGACATTTAACATAATCAAAGCAAAGTCGTGAATTAACAACAGAGGTAATTCGGTCATGACTGTGAAAGTAGTAGTACACTATTCAGTATTAAGGAAATTCAAAAAGGGTTGCCAACTTGCCAGGCAGTTTGAAATTGGAGATGAGATTTGGGCTCTAGGAAACGTATCCTATCCAGTTGTATGATACAATTCACCCATTCAAGCTTTAAAACATGGGCAGTCTGAGGATTCCCAGTTTAATAGAATTGTTTTTTCTTGATAAATAATGTCCATCAATAGAGGTCGTTGTTGGAAACTTGGAACAGTGTTTCACTCAAAGTATCCAAGAATTGCTAGACAATGATCTGGCTTAACCTCCTTTGAAAAACCTTTGAAAAAAATACAATATGGCCATCCCAAAAAACAAACAATTTAGGACAAAACCAAAACATGTGTGACAAGGAACCCTTGTGGATTTTCTTAAACTAAACTAAACTTGAAATAACACTAATTTGTAGCTCCCCACACTTCTAAATACTCCACCTTGAAAATGTTTATGTTTTGTAATAAATTCTTTTATAAAAGAAAATAAATGGGATTTTTTTTCAAAAAAAAAAAATCAATTTGTTATACTCACAGTGCCTCACAGGTTGATTTTTGTTACATTAATAGATCATAATTAAAGACAAGATACCTGGATAAATCGTGAGATTACTCATAATTAAATTATATTGTTAAACTTGTTCACCAAAAAGCAGCAATGCAAATAAAAACTGATTTGTTTTCTATTCATTTGTTTTTTTTAGGCCTATCCTTTTTTCTCTAAAAATGTTTTTTGTAATACGACATATATTAGACTACAAAACAGACGGCTGCACCAATTTTAAGCCAACATAATTAAAGATAAAAAAGGACTTAAAACAAATGTGAGTTGGCAACTGAGGAAGGAATCTTTGTCTTTGGAGTGATCTGTCACTCTTCATTAAAGCTAATTTAATTTCTTTAGTGCTTACATTTGTTATTGTTTGTTTTGTTTTTTTGTTTTTTTGTGCTGGTGATGAATTAGTTGATCAGGTATACACACAGATGGTAATGGCTAATTGCTTATTTTTCTTTCCTTTACTCTTTTGCATGCCAATAACTATTATAAATTTCTAGTGGCTTCTGGTCATGGAGTTGTCATAGCAACAGCTATGAGTGCTCTGTTTTGCTTCACAGTGAAACTGAAGGAGGTTGAATATGTAGCCAGATCACAAGTATCTGTATGTGGTTTTGTCTGGTCATAACTGTAACCCTTGCTTTTCAATCCTACCCAATCCCTGGTTTTATTCTGTCTTTTTTTTTTTTTTTACATATATCTTCTTGCTTATACAGTAGTGATGTGATAAAGTCACTTAATTCGATTTTTTTGTATAATTCTTTGTAGTGGTCAAGTGTATTGATGCTGTAGACACACATATAAGATA